TACTTCTGAAAAGAACTGTTGGTGACTGTCACAGTCACCAACAACAGTTCTTTTCAGAACTACCCTCACCTGGATGATCACACTATACAAATTACTGATACTCCTGGGTTCAAACCATTTACTATGTTTCTATAAGATGTTGAACACTGTTTCTATAAAAAAAGTAAAAAAGAAAAACACTGCTTACATCTAATTTTCTGCTTGTATGAACTTATTTTTGAAGCTTCGCCAAGATCATTGACAGTCTGGCTTGATTCAAAATGTAATAATTTTCTTCTCAACCATTGCCAGACATTACACATATGTATAATATTAAATATATAATATTTTGTACATCATGATCAAATTATTTTATTTTTCTTCCAGGTATGAAGTGAAGTTTCAGCAGGCAATGGAATGTGGTGGTGCTTATGTCAAACTTCTTTCTCATCAAGATTCTCTTGACCTGGTAAAGTTTTGTTCATTGTAACACTCAAGAATTCCTCATTGTTCATTTACTCATTGCAAAAAAGATGAATGTATGGCAAGGTGCCTAAAGGGTGGTGGGACCACATGAGATTTGAGCAGGCACAGAGTTTCCTTGGTAACCCTGTGAGCGACAACCACCCGTTAGTGATAGACTGAAATTATCAGTGGAAACTACTCACTTGAACCACCTATGAGTAGACACTCTGGCACCCAAGTGTCCACTTATGGGACATAAAAAAAAGTAATTACTATTTTGTATATGCATATGATCATGACTTGATGACTTGGTCGTGTAATCAAACTTGATATAGACACCTCCAATAAGTAATTACATTTTGTTGTTTTACTACAGAAATCTTTCCATGACAAAAGTCCTTATACTATTATGTTTGGACCTGACAAATGTGGTGAAGACAAAAAGGTAATTATCATTAACAATATATTTGACATCGTTGAATATATTGCTAGTCTTGAAGGAGTAAAGTGTTTTGGCCAAGAACAGAAATACAGACACTGGCTCCGAGGATGATTTTGCCTGCCTGGTTTGAGTGTTGAGGGGTTCAAGGTTTTCCTTGTAAAGAAGTTCAGTTCCAAAAGTTTTACCCACCTGTGAAAACCAGTTGCCCTTCCGCTGAAATAGGTATTGAAACCCTTGCACTGGTGAAGGCTTGAACATGATTGCTTTTTCCAAGATTCAAAGCATCCAAAAATATTATACTGTCCATGAATTTTGTACTCTGCTCAAAAGCATCAAAACTTGAGTGGGCAAGGGAACTTTCTGTCACTGCCTATCAATGGATTTCTGTCATTTAATGTAGACTAATCATCTTACATGTGTGTGAAGAATATTGTTGTTCTTGTTTCTCACATCATCAACAAGCTGTTTTTATTTTCTTTTTAGCTTCACTTCATTTTTAGACACAAAAACCCAAAGACTGGTGAATATGAGGAGAAACATGCAAAGAAGCCAACTGGCAATTTCCAGAGTGTATTTGATGGCAAAAAGACTCATTTATTCACTTTGGTAGTTCGACCTGACAATTCATTTGAAGTATTTGTGGACCAAGAGAGTGTCAATTCAGGCAACTTGTTGGAAGATTTCACTCCGGCTGTCAATCCCCCTAAGGAGATTGATGACCCGCATGATAAAAAACCAGAGGACTGGGATGAGAGGGAAAAGATTCCCGACCCTGATGCAGAGAAGCCTGAAGACTGGGATGAGGATGCTCCTGCTAAAATTCCTGACCCTGATGCAAAGGTTTGCTGAATTCAATCCCCTAACTAAACTGTTTTTTACCTTACCCTTAAGGGAATTGTTGAATGGTGCAATATGTAAATAATTTGTTTAAATTTAAATTGTTTTATTATTGTCAGAAACCTGAAGACTGGTTGGATGACGAGCCAGAGTATGTTCCGGATCCAAATGGCGTCAAACCTGATGACTGGGATGAAGAGGAAGATGGAGAGTGGGAAGCACCACAAGTTGGTGAGCTGATTTGATATATGGGTTATGGACCAAGCTTGAGGTCAAGATGGCTAGATATTGGCCAAGTTCTGTTTTTTTGGATGCTTATAGACTGAGATGGAGTTGAGAAACGAGGCCAATATCCAGCCATCTTGACCGAACAATTGTGGTAAATAAAAATAATTAAAGGTTTATTATATGGGATATGCTTTGGCTGCAGGGAAATTTTTCTTGTGGGACACAGAGCATTATCCCAGGCAGGCAAGATAGTGCTATCTTGCCCGCTCCGGTAGCCAATCACTGTGCAGGATTTGGTTCATCTTTCCCACTCAGGGAGTTAACCGTATTGTAGTATTGTTGTTGTGAAATGTGCTGTACTTTTGTCCTTTTGGGATGACACTCTCATTCATTTGCTGTGCCTTTAGTTTGCTTAAATCAAGCACCTAGCTTATCTTAAAAAAAAAATGTCATACAATCATTGTGAAACATTTTAGTGTGAAGTATTGCTGCATGGTATATGGGAAACTATCTTCTAAGAAACAATAAAAAATATTGTGTTCCTGCTTTGGAATCATGATTAACTAAAATGTATATAATTTCCTGTACTCGGAGTGCAATAAAAGTCTCTTTAAAAGCGGAATATTCCATTCAGCTGAACCAAACTTCATCAGCCACAAAGCTAAAAGTTTTATCATCCAACAGAAATTTAAACTTACTATTTCATATTCTGTTTTAAGCAAACCCGAAATGTGAGAAGGCTGGTTGTGGAGAGTGGAAGCCTCCTGTCATAGATAATCCTGCTTACAAGGGCAAATGGTCAGCACCACTGATTGATAACCCCAGCTACAAGGTAAAAACAGAGATCAACTGCTAATTTCTCCTGAGATAATTGATACAAAGACAAACATGCAGGACAGGGAAATAAGAGTTGATCACCACTGTCTGTTAGCTAGTGTCACATTGTATAATGAACAGGGCTGTCATTAAGGGTCGTAACCCGTAACACCTGTTGAGTATGCGTGATAGGCCCTTGATGTTATGGATGAACTTGCCTGTTGTTGATACAGTTCACCCACAAAGTAGCAAGTTTGTTACAGGTGTGAAAGTCAAGGCTACAGGTGACTCAAAACTTAATGACAGCCCTGATGAATGTATCCATGTTTATTATTATTATTATTATTATTATTATTATTATTATTGTTGTTGTTAGTATTATTATTGTTGTTAGTATTATTAGTATTATTAGTGTTATTAGTTTTTTTTGTTTGTTTGTTTTTTTGTAAAGTTTAAAATTTCTTTTGATGATCTCATGGGCTTGGCACAATTTTAATACTAAAAGAAAATATATTGCAGGGTATTTGGAAGCCAAGAAAAATTGAAAATCCAGATTACTTTGAGGATAAGGAACCTTTCAAGATGACATCCATTGTAAGTATGACTGGAAAACAAATCCTATCTACCGGTGCTTGAACTCTGTTTATAAATTATTTGCATGATTTTATGATTTTTGTTTTATTTATTTCAGGCTGCTGTTGGTTTGGAGCTCTGGTCCATGACCCCAGATATACTGTTTGATAATTTTATCATCACTAATGACAAATATGTTGCTGACAAATGGGCTTCAGACAGGTACAGTCAACAACTCCCTCCTAACCCTGTGATTAAAATCTAATTTATCATTGCAACATGGGTGCATTATCAGACAAACAGGTGTTGAGAATAAAGAAAAGCACTAACAAATTGATATTGTCTTGATCTACCACCAAATTCTCAGATCTGACATTGAAAGAAATTAATGTATTGTATTCAGTATGGAAAATTAACGTTTTGAACAAGGGACAGAAAGGGTTATCAGACACCCCTTTAACACTGAAATCTGTTGTTCTCATAGTGCCTTACTTCAGTTATTCACTAGTGGGAACAGAACTCCTCTTACAAACAGATATGGAAGTAAATCTCAGAGTGTGTTTTTGAAAATTGCATCCTGTGTAAATAAACCTTCCTGAAGACCACTAGAATACAAAATGTTGGGTGTTCAAAGGCTTATTTGTGGGCTAAATTCTGTTTTTTTCTGCTTTAGCTGGGTGAAGAAAAATGTCAAAGAAACCTATGGAGGAGATGAGGAGGTTAGTGACTTGATTCTTATTCGTTTCCCTTTCTTGGTGGTGTTTAAATCTCACATATTTCATGGGTTACTATGCTGTCTGTAGTAATAATATCATTATCTTTAAGAACATCTGCAACAAGGAGAAGTGAAATGTTGTGATTGTTTTTTTTTTTTTTAGGGTGGAGTAGTTAGGAACTTGCTGGACGCAACAAACGAGCGACCATGGCTGTGGGTGCTGTTTGTCATCGTTGTTATTTTGCCATTTGTTTTAATTGCTGCTTGCTGTTTCCCTGGAAGCAAGGTAAATAATATAACGATATATCTTTTAATTAATGATCTTTCGATGTTAATACTTAAACAATAGATATTGAAGGTGGTTGAGAGTGAGGCTAAGGGTGCTTAGTCTATAATTTTATAAGTTCCTTAACCTTGTTACCAAATAGAAAAAGTATTGAAATAGGATTAGGCATTTTAAACTGACTTCAACATTTACATACATTTTAGAAACCAGCACGGTGTTGTTTTTAGTTTCTAGATCTTTCATTCATTGTCTTGTCCTGACTTGTTCCATGTCCTCACAGGGATGATCAGAACATCCACTACCACCTTCTTCATCTTCTACTGCATTGTAACATGGTTTTAATTTCATACCTTCTCATCCCTTCTTCCCCTGCACCAGATCTCATTGTTTTTGGCAATGGTGGTTTTAGTAATTAATTATTTTTATTTGCTTTCTCCACCGACTTAAAATAAAGAAGTTACTTCTAGTATATTCTCCCAAATGCTACTGTTAGAAATGTCAGTAGGTTTGTAAGAAGAATGTGCAAGATACATGTTGATTGCAGAGTGATGCTGCCAAGAAGAAGAAGACTGATGAACCAACCGAAGATGTTGTTCCTGAAGAAGACAAGGTATTGTGTTGTAAAAGAAATCCTGAGAGTGGGCACAGTTATGTACATATGTAATCTAGCTACATACATATATACTGGTTGAACATTCTTGGCTGGGTTGTTCAAAGCGTGATTGAGCTAACCCAGGATTAGCGCGAATTATGATTTCAGTTTTGTAACCTTTCAGTGAGGTTTTCTGTTTACATTGTTTGTCCTTCACTTTTGAGTTTGAGAAATCTCGAACTACATAAAACATAAGAAAAAAAGAAACATTTTAATTTATAGAAGAAAAATTAATACTGTGGCTAACTTTTAATCCTTGGTTAGCAGTAGCCAGCTTTCAAACAACCCAGCCAGGTGATAACAAACTTACTTTGATTTTACCCATGAATCAGCAAATGGTAATAAGGATTCTACAGTGATCTTTGTCTACACTGGCTTTCTTTTTTTTATCTCTCTGATTTGGCAACAATAAATTGGCATTGTCTGAAACATTAATTTTAAGTAACTGGCAGACATGATAAGAACACTGTAAAATAAATGTAAAACAAGAAACAGTGGGGAATCTCAATTTTTCCAGCTTTCAATGTTTTAAACCTCCCAATGATTTGAAGCAACAAGTGCCTCAAATATTTGGGAGTTCCAATTGAGAGTTTGAAAAACTGAGATTCCACAGTTTCTTGTTTCATATTTATTTACAGTATTCTTGTCAAATCTAACTATTATTATTTTGTTCCTCTAGCTCAAAATGCAAAAGCTACTGTTAAATGATTTTTCAAACCTCCAATTTTTCAAACAAATTTTAGTTCCCTTAAGTGATAGAACAATCAGGATACTGCTTTATTTCCTTGCAAAAAGTTTCAAATTTAGGGTTGTAAGATATGTGAAAAGAGTTCCCACACAGTAGATGAGTGCACCTTTGAAGGATCACTCAAAGTTAGTTGGATCATGTGTACTAAAGGCATCTATGGTCAACTGTTGATTGATATCCTTAATTGATACCCTTGATTGACCCCCAATCAACACTTGACCGTGGATGCCTTTAGTACAAATGATCAAGGTAGTTTTGCATTCATTTCCCTCCACATCTGGCACCTAACCTAGACTATGGACACTTTTTTGAGTTGTGATTGCTGTTGCAACATTAATTATTTTTTACTCAGACTGAAACACCAACACAAGAAGGAGAAGAAGAAGAAGAAACACCTGAAGCGGGTGATGAAAAGGTTGGTTAATTTTTGTATTTCAAGGAAAATAAAACAAACAACAAGATGTTTGTAGACCAACAGACAGTAACTGTCTTTGTGCATTTGTCTTTTAGGCTGAAGAGAAAAATGAAGATGAGGAAAAGGTGAGACAATTACTGATTTATTGTTGAAAACCAGACAAGAAAATTGATTTTTTATTTTAAACACTTGATTATCTTTGAACTATGTTGTTGAATCTAGAAATCAAAATTGAAGGCTTTGAAAAGTGGATACGGGGAGTTTAAACAGTAATGTTTTAAATTGTATAATACCTCAACTCTGTGAAATTGTCAAGGTATTATTTCGTAGTTGTTACAGTGTCTAATAGTACAGATTTTCAGGAATATGGCCTTTCGTTGATTAGGTTAAGTCTGCATACAAGCCAGGTGGCCCATCAGGCCGAAGCTTATCCCAC